TGGTTTGTCATAAGTTTGCTTACCTCCTAGGCCTTCTTTCTATACTTTTAAGCATTTATAGATTGATGCATAAATAAAATTTCAGTTATTTTACCTGCAGATTCTTGAAGAAAATGAAAAAAGAATAAAAGTCAAGCAAGGAACTGAAATGAAGCTAAAAAGCCTGTCAAAAGTCGCGGAACACCAACACCCTTTTTGTCATTAATATTGGCTGGATCTCCTTTCCCTTTGAAACTAGGATGGCTGAGGTTTATTTCCAACATTGTTTGGGAGAAAGGGGGTAACAGTGCTATTCTAGGCGATCGAGGATTGATTGAAACTGCCTAAGTGTTAAAAGTATTTTTTGCATGCATTGTAGTCATCATGAAAAAGACATATACCAAAGATACTAATGGTGACTGAATTTGGCCAAGGCTAGAATCTGCTGAAAATTGTACCCACAGAAACAACATAATCTTGACATTTTGTTAAAACAAAATTCATTTACATTATTTCAGTAAAGGAAAAGTCTTCGACAACAAATTGACTTTTTTCTTTGTTACTTATGAGAACAATGCATCTTTGCACCGCAAAGTTTGCGGTTGATTGATTGAACAGTTTTCTTAATTCCCATAATTTAGTTTTCTAAAGCAAACCATAAATTTGAAGGGTTACATTATTCTATACAGCTTTGTAAATCTTTATCGTTTGATTCAAAAACGCCCATTTGATTCATAAATTCGAGAAGTACAGTATCTAATTTCGCAGACCAAAGGTTATGGATAACCAATACTTTGGCAATTCTAGGGCAATTATAAATGAATCTCAGGTAGGCATAGCAACAGTCTATCTCATTTGAATGTATAATGAATTTTGTAGCGTAAGTGTACTCACGCCCTTTCGATAACCTTTTCCGATTCCAATTGATGTTTTACAGAAAAAAATCTAGACTTGAAGTATTTGTATTTGTTGTTGTTACGTCCTATTTTCCGAACGTAGTTTTTATCTTGAGACAACTTAGAAGCTGTGCTTTATCGAGCAAGGCACTTCTTCTCTATGCGACCGCACACTTGGAATTAGAGAGAGAGAGAGAGAGAGAGAGAGAGAGAGAGAGAGAGAGAGAGAGAGAGAGAGAGAGAGAGAGAGAGAGAGAGAGAGAGGAGAGAGAGAGAGAGAGAGAGAGAGGAGATCGTGACTTGGTTATTTCAGGGACTCCAACCACAGACCAATTGACTTATTGTTCAAGAATCTTACCAACGAACCACCCTTAAACACTAAATGTAAGTGACTGTAAATTTTATTCTTTATTTCTCTAACTTCTGAATGATTTATGACTTACTGTTGCGTAGTAAGGAGGCTCACTGCGACTTACCTTTCTTAAACTGGTAAAAAATCTGTTTCACTGTGGTTTCCAAGCAATAGATATGGACACCTCGCCCCTGAAGCCGAAGTTATTTGCGTACTTAAAGGTAAAATGTAATGAAGAATGAACGCCGACGTTCTTTTTCATACGGTCATTTGGTTGGTCAAATCGACTGTGTTGGCTAATATATATTTATACTTTTACTAACAGAAAAGAAATGCTGCTCAATTAACTCGCATAAAACGCCAACTGCAAGAAGGGAGCACAAGAACAAGAACGCTGGAAGAAGAAATTCTCAAATTAGAGAACAGAATCAACCATATGAAGTCCACCTTGATTGGTTGAGATCTAAAATACACTTGATTGCTCCACCGAACGACAAAATTACGCATCCTGACAGACAGAAGTGCCATTTCTCCTTTTCATATGTATTTTCAGTCATGTTAGTGCATATAACATAACATATCTATTTTATCTATTTTTTTATCTATTTTTTATCTGTATTGGCGATGGATTCAGAATCTAGTCATATAAAAAATATCCCTTGCTCCTATAAAAGCTGCCCAGTATCAAAACTGTAATCAGGTGTTTTCCTCTTTCTCATTTAAAGTATTTGACAGGCATTAATTTAATTTGCCAGTGATACCTAACAATGTTCTCAATACCTAGGGCAAAACCAGGTCTATTGTTTTGGGTGATTCATTTTTAGTTTTTATCTTATAATCGATCAAAAAACAGTAGTTACGTGCTTACAACAAGAGGGGTGAGCTCAATTATCTATTTGATTGAAACATTTGCCGAATTTCACAAATATATGGTCTATGAATTATAAAACATCCTTTAAGTGTTCTATTTTACTGCTGACTGGGGCTGGTGTGAACTTTAAACCATTCTTTATTGCTGAGCAGGTACCTTGCATTTTTTCATAAATTCAGTTGTTAAATGTCACCTGTGTTTGATACGTTCGCAAGTAATGTAATTTCAAAGATAGTAAAGCTAAAATTCCATTCGTATGCAAAATTGAGTAAATTTTCCTGTTTTCGAAAACAAAACGAAAATGTTACGATGCAGAAAAATGCCGAAAGCGAGGCTACACCAGCTGTTCACTTGACCGTGAAATTCTCATAGTTTCCATACATTACAAAACAGAGGAGGATGTAATTAGTACATGAACTTGAAGTCAAGTAAACTGGAATTTTCAAGCTGATTTTCAGTATAAAAGAAGAAGTGCGCATAAAGTACATTTACAGCTATAATGCAAATAACTTGCAAGCTGTGAAATTCTTATCGCGTGCAAGGACATGTTTAAATTCATCGTCAAGGAACGGATTTTTTGTCCTCGTCACGATCAATTAGTTGATTAAAGCCGTTGAAGGCACTTGAGAAAAGTCATCATAGTTGGTATTCAAGAGCAAAAAATTTATTTTTAAAGGCGAAGAATCTATAAATATCTAGTTGATTTTGTCAGCACACAATGATTTACACAGCAAGAGTTTTAATGCTAGTTTTGTTAATATTATGGACCTCGTCTGAATTTCTATCATTCGGGCTTGGAAGGAATCTTCAACGGCACCGACAAGCCAAAATGAAAAGCAAAAGAAACAGGAGCAGTATACTTGATCTGAAAATGCCAGGGTCTCGTCCACGAAAGGTTTGTTGAGAATTTTATACGAACCAAACCCGTGTGATCAACCGTTCCAAGAAATACTTCCTGTTTACCTGCCAGCTTACCTTTCGTTATTCAGCCCATTCTCTTCTCGCTTATATCATTTGCATTAGTCTTAACAAATTGTTCGAAACCAACATCTATTATATCTGACGGTTTTGGACTTCATAGGCAGCTGGCCATCTGAATGGTGGTTTGGTGGGATTGCTATTAATTTTTCAGTCATCGCATTTAATTGTTTTCAGATAATTTTAATACAGATAAGGATATTTAAATTCCAATCTTATTGTGACATGTAATTTGATCATTTTAATCCTCATTTCAATATTTTAAGTTTCTGATGTTCGGAAATCTAAGAACAGCACTGTTTGTTTTGGCAAGCCTATTTAGTTGCACCAAAAAACTGGCTCAAATGAGGAAAATGGAAAATTGTTTTAAAATGTGTGCCACTAATCAAAATTTGATTGTGGTGTTTGAAGCAAGTTTTGATAGTAGAATATTGGATATATTTGACTTTATTAATTTGAAATCATTCAAAACAAGTTTTATTAAAAAACCTATATATTTGAATATTCATGATGTTTCAAAATGTCAACTTTGTAGGCAGAAGAGTATCTATGTACATCGAGTCCAAGACTATCATCACAAACTTCCTACATCGGTATTATATTTTCATTTCTTAAAATTTTACAATAGACATATCTTGATTTCAGTGATGTCAATATTAATCAGTATTTTGTTTACTTGCTTATTAAATGATGTGTTTGCAAGTGCATATGAAATGTCTCTAAATTAAATGAAGATTATACCAATTATCACATGTTTACCTGCTGTAGTGAAACCTACTGCATTTTTGTGTAGATATGATGTTTGGTTATTCATCTGCATTTATATTACAATACTGTCATTACTGTAAAAAAATGGACCCCAAGTCCTGAGGACTAAAAAGGAAAAACTTATTTTTGGGTTAAAATCTGTCAGCATCTATTTTGTTCTTTGTGTCTCCGTAGCCAGAGTCAATTTTTTTGTAGGGAGCAAAATACTCTATCTTCTGAAATTGTTTATAAGCATATCTGTTAGCCATAGGTGTTAGATAATTTTGTTACAAACAATGAATTTCCTACTTAAGTGACATGGTGATCTGCTCATTAACAAAGAGAGCTACATTGCCACAACTTTGGCATGGTTCCCAGTCCTGGTAGTATTAGGTATTGGATCACATGCAAATGCCTCCACACACCCCTAAAACCTTCTAGACATGATTTTTTTCTCACATGCACACTACCAAGTTTTCTTTAACTATTCATAAGCGTTTATTTAAACCTAATGCCCTTAGCCAGCATGCCAGCAAATTTTAATATTACCAGGACAGGCTCTGAGTTTTACAAATAATACAGTATGTAATGACAGAACTTTTGTTTTTAAGTTGAATATGAACCACATGCTGAGGCATCAACAGCACACCATATCCTTTTAATTGGATGCAAATACCTTGCATCTAGATCAAGAATTTGGTAAATTGAAAGCTTGTATTTCCTTCTCATTCATTTATTTTAGAATCATTGTCTCAATCTATAAAGCTGGAGTCTTTTGTTATGATCCAGCGATGTCATTGCATAATGAATAATTTAAGTTCATGTTCTATAAACATAAAATGGTTTTAATAACACATAAGAGCTTTTAATTGTGTAAAAAACTCTTTGAAAATCTTTTTCTATTTCAACTCAAATATGATATGTGGTGAGAATAGCGGATTAAAAAGATTTTTGGAAGCTTATTGGTTTGGTTCAACTGATTCATGGTTCTGAAAAATTTAGCTATAATGCTACTGAATATTGTTGCAAAGAATTTCATTTGATGGAATTTCCAAAAAGTTTTGTATATGATTGGATTAACAAGTTCATATATCTCCTTAAAGTATTGTTAAACTAATGTTAAAGCTTACGAGATTATTGATTTTTATAACTAGGAAATGCGATGGAAATGTGTGTGATGGAGAGGAACACATCATATATGCCTGGGCAAAGAATGCAAAAGCAATAAAAATGCCAAAAGGTAAATATTGTTGTATTACCAATTAACTTAATTTTATAGAAATTTTGGGACATGCAGTAGTCTTTATTCAGTAGCCTCTGTTGTGAGCCAAATGTAACTTAGTGTATCCTTTTTAATTTGTATCCATTCACTGTTGAAGATGAAGTAAAGTTAAGCCAAGTTAAGACATTATGATGCTAAAAAGCCTTCAAAGGGTTACACTTCTAAGTAGCAGTAATATTTAATTTTTCTCATAGTCTTGAAAGACAACCTAATAAAGATTTTTGAAGTTGCTGTTGCCTAAATTGAAGATACTTTATGGCCTTAATTAAAGCTTGTTATTTTCAACATGTGCTGTTTTCCAAATTTCAAACAATTTTTTATGAGTCTTAATAGGTGTTAATTTTGTACTTGATGCTGTTATCGGTCTACGTTGTTGAATATCAGAAAATATTATACAATGGCAAAACACTATTTTGATAACATTATTTTGCAGGTGTTGGTTTTGCTGTTGGCAGGAGCACTGGCATAAATTACATTGCCATGCAGGTTCATTATGCGCGGGCTTTAAAAGGTTTGCTAATAGTTTTGTCTTTTTCTGCTTACCCCCAGCTACATGAAAGTGAAAACAATTGTAGTACAACTGCAGCAGGTATAGTTTATCCTCTATTATTTGTCTGCCAACCTTCAAATGCCTGCAGTTTTCAAGTAGTTTGGTTTCATTAAACAATGTCCAGCTTAGAAAGGGGTATGATGAGTTACCTGTGTTTGGAAGATATTAAAAAAGCTTGCCTCCTGTTATTGTCAGGGATTGTCTTAAATTGTTTACAGGTGGCATGTCTAGCACACTGGCTAACCATATAACTTTTAGCAAATTCTGCAAATGGAATTCAGTCTACCAAGAACTTTATGTCAATTCCTTGGTACAGGAAATTTGTTGTACACTTCAAATAACATGCTAGGTCCATTTTTTATAATAATTGTCCTGGGCAGCTAAAACATTTGGTTTTATTTCTGTATGAGAGAAAATAGCTGTGTGTTCTATATATAATTAATGTTTAAGTGTTCACTTATTTGAATAGGAAGAAAAATGCTACAGAGTTAACAGGTTGTGTAGTATTATGCAAAAAGCCAATTTGGTGGTATAAATACCACTTTAAGGAGCCTTGTGAGAAACCAGGCCCAAATGCATTTCGGAGCCATTCCTGAAGACTTTTTTGTTTACCAGCATGTGCAAAGTGTAAAAGAGCCCTTTTATTTTAGGAGCAGAAAGAGATTATTCTGGCATCAAAATTCATATGACTAATGAAAGGTATGGTATTTATATATACAGTAGGTCTAACCAGAGAAGAGGAAAGGTAAGATTTGAGGTGGTGTGACACCCTCATTCAAGGAATCTCCTATCAAGAGCCAATAACTGTGAATGTTACCTGCTATTATTAGCAACCTCTTTTTTCTTCTCTATATTTATGTTGTCTTTGAATTTCTTTATTTAAAAACATGGAATGCATTGTTTTCCAGTTTTGAAGGCTCTAAGGGGTGTCATTATATATCAAAGTAGACCACCTCATATTCCATCATTTCAACTATTGTCTGCTTCAATGGAGAGGGGAGTTGACCCACTGTTTACCTGCAACTATATTCTCAACCAAGGAAAAAAGGAGGATATTGTGAATTTGAGCTGCTAAAAGGCCAACAGTGAGAAATAATTGTATCCGTTTTAGAGTTTTGGGGGCTACTCCTTTTCAGCTCCCCTCCTTCAGCAGTCCCTTCTTCATTTAGAATTTTTGAGTCAATTGTCCTCCGTGTAACGTTTAATTGTGAGTTTCTTTCAATAGGGTGAAACATCGAGCTAATATTTTCATGCTGGGAGCTGGAGAAGCAAAGATACCACCTCGGTCAATCGGTAATTCATATTACATTCATTATAACTTGTTATTACCCTGTTATGTGTAATTATTTCTAGGTTAACTTTTCTTGGTTACATTAAGGTTTTATGATTGCCAATGAATTTAGAGAAAGAAGTTGGTCGTTAGTCCCTGATTTAAACCACAGAAATATCCGGCATCTGGTTGATTGGTCGTAGTGAGACACACCCTAAATGATTTGAGATAATGGCCACTGACCATTCTTGGAAAGGTTTTTTGCATACGCTGATAAATTTAATGCATATGTAACAATCAACAATAGACTTATGAATTAAAGCTACTAAAAACCTTCTTCGAAAGAAGTTCAAAATGCCTTTCATATTACTAATTTGCCGTGTTCACTTCCTGCATAGGGTTTCATGCAGACGTAGCTTGCAGATATGAGCGACCCTATGATCTGGTGCCGTTTGCATTCAGGACACATGCTCATAGTACAGGTATGTGTATGTATATATCTAGATGATATGATATCCAGTGCAATGTACCCATTTTGAATACTACAATTTGCCAGATCTGAACCCTTTAAATTGCAACCATATGGGTTTCGGTTTTAGAGAAAAACGTTTAAAAGAAAAAGAAAACATAAAAACATAACATGAACATAGGCACAGAGTATCTAAGTTTGATGGTAATTTTGAATCGGCAAGGAAAAAAAACAAACAAGCAAGCAGGAAAGACGGAAATTGGGATTCCTAAGACAAGCCATATTATTGGCATGAAAATAGAGAACCATAGAAATGTTATTAAGGAGTTTCTCGTTGATATGTTATCAAATTTGATATTTGATTGTTTCATGGACCTTGCGTACTCTGCAAGTCTTATTGATTATTGATTATGATACATTTTTGTCACGTTTGTTTTCCAGCCCGAGTCATTTCTGGCTACAGGGTGCGTAATGGCAAGTGGAAACTCATTGGAATTGGGAATCCCCAACTGCCCCAGGTGAATGTTCTAAATATTGTTCATTAATTGAGATTAGTAAAAGCGTGCAAACAGATGCCCCGACAGGATGACGGATGGCTCTGTTTAGCTTCTAAAATTCTTTTGCATTTAAAGTAATGCTACACTATGTGTTGGATTCAAACTTAGATGCTCTGCTCGAAACCCTTGTACGTGTGTACTTTTGTAGTTTGCCGATAAATTGGGAAATTGTTAATCTTGTACGCTTGCTCACAAACATTTTGAACTACTGCTGTTAAAGGAATCCATGGGGTAGACTGAGCATAAAGCTGCCTAGAGGTTGCAGACAGTCTTGCTAATTTGAGTTGTTACCCGCTTACTCATATTGACAGAATACAAGAATCTGTTTTGAAATCACGGTTGCAAATTTTACATTTAGACTTTATTTGCTATCACTGTCAGTGTTTAAAGGTCTGGTCAACGATTTTGATTCAGTATTTCTTTTTATATGAATCGCCTTTTACCTGTTTAGCCAAAGAATGATCTGTGAAGCTCAATTTAACGAGCAACGTTTGGTTAGTATATGAATGCGCACAGGTGGAGAAGTTGAGATCTGAATATGAAATAAACCACAAATAAATGAAGAAAGCCCATAACGCAGTTTTTGAAGTTCAAAATAAAAAACTATTTTGTGTAAGATAATCCCAATTGAATGTGAGGTCATTTATTTTGCCGCAAGTCTTCATAGAGAAGGGTATTAAAGCCAAAGGCATACGATTATGAAACAGCTGTATGCCTGTATTAATGGTTATATTCATACCCACATGGGTGAGAGCCGTTTCTTTTCTATTTTACTCAGCATTTAACTCTCTTCTAGGTCCATAATCTTTTCAGTTGTGCAATAGGTTTTCCTAACTGATTTGAATGGTTTTTTGTTCTTAGAATCATTCATTTGCTCAGAAATAATTTTTGTAGAATATTCGTGTTATGATAAGCAGGAATCGTGCATAAGTTCCAGAAGGGAGGAAAACAATGTGGATAAAAAGGATGAATTGGATAGCTTTGGGAGGCTGCGAACTCGAAGCAACTTCTCCCACTAATGTGAAAATCAACTGATTGTTCATGAAAGCAGAATCTTTTTCTGGTTTCTCTACCATCACCAAGAACTTCGCAATCAATTGAACTTTTTTTTCGACAGCAGGTGTTAGTGCCAAAGCCTCGTCATTACAAGCTAGTTTCACCGGTAATACAAACAATTCTTCGAGGAAAAACTGGGCATTATAAAAGCGTCTCCTTTAGGAAGAAGTGCGATTTTCCGGAGGGGGGGGGGGGGGTTGGGTTAAAATGCTTTACTTATTACAGCGTCTTCACTTGTTTCTTTCCTAAAAGTTCTTTCAATGTCCAATGCTGCACTTTTTAACTGCTGTCGTATTTGATTTTATCCAGATATTTTACCCGATTCCTCCTGAGAAGAGAGCAATTATACATCGTGGTGATATTTTAGTAAGTATACCAACGACCATTGTCGGTTGGACTTAAATGTATATGTAACCCTTGGTTATTATTGGGTAATGTTTTACCCCATATTTAGGCTCGAAGACATATATAAATGCTAGTTCAACTTCAAGAACTTATGATGCACACTCCATGATTACAGGGTTAAACTGTCACACAATTATAGTTCCAAACAAACTTTTATAAAAGACGTCTAAAAGATTAATCTGTAATTAACGAAACAAAGCATTTTCCCACTCATTAGTTATTAATAACAAAGGATAAAAGTGGTTATGTTGTAGCAACATGATTGTTTATTGAAGGTGTTGGCAACGACGAATTCCATGTGCTACATATACGAGTCAATACGCTGTTAAAAGCTCCAACATTCTCTGCAATGCATTTTTCATATCATATTTATTGGTAGCAAGGCTGTTGCCTGCATATTTTGCAAGACTTTGATGTAATGCATAAATCTTTATATCTAGAACTCATAACTATTGAGATTTGTGTTGTATCATGCCTGTGAGACTGAATATTCACGATCTATAGTAACTTAGATGCACGTTGGATCCAGCTTATCTTAATGGACTATCGAGCCTTCCGTTAAATTCAATTACAATGCACTTGCTCAAACTGGGTTGGATGACCTAGGATTTGTAGAACAGAGTACAGCCTCCCTGCCTTCAGTGATTCTTTCTACTTAGCTGTGAAAGTGGAGAAATAAATTGAATAAAAAAATCTACCTCTGGCAAATCAAAGATTTAATTTTAACTAAAATAAGTTTTACTTGAATTTTGCTGACTGTTTTATGTAATTGCTTCATCTAACAGGCTGGGAGATGCACATATGATACACCCCACAGAAATCGATGGACACATATGGGGTGAGTGAAATGCTTTTTGTTTGAAAAAAGTTTGTCATTATGGGAATGGGATTGATATCTTGTTTCAATGCTCACAATATTTTATTTGTTTCCAATCTGATCATAGGCTTTTCTCTTTTTTTCTGGGTATTTCCATATATAGTTTCCATAAAATTAAGAAACAACATATCCCCGATCAGAAATACTTTCTACGAATTTTCAGAAACTCCTTTTATACGTTCGTGACCCTTCTGATATTGAGTTTTATATAATATAGCTTATTGTCAGATAATTTCCTTTGAAAGAAGTAGTTTAGGATAAGGATGGTGACATCGATTAAAATGACAAAAGGTTTCAAGAAATGAACTCTATGCGTGATTTCAAAATTCAAATAATATTTTTAGCAGCATATAGTACTGGTGTCTTAGGATCAATTGCTTTGATTGATATGCTTGTTTTTGTATACGTTTTCACCGTTTTTTGCTTAGAGCAACATCAAAGGATGAAATGTGCAATTTTTACTTCATGTATTACAAGATCTTCAAGGGGAAAAAAGGTAGTGATCAAAGGGTCAGACAGTGGTATGCCTCTGATTGCGAAGACATTGAATACGGCATATCAAAAAAAGAGTTGCAGTTTCCTGCAGACTCTGATAAGCTGCCTGCCAGCATGAAGTTGAATGGAACGATGCAACACCATCATAATCATCATTCAATGTCAGGTGATGACTTTGACGTTGATGACGATGCCGGCGACAGTGATGCTGACAAAGAAAATGATGGCAGTGTTGGCGGAGATGACGTCAACAATGACGATGGCGGCGATGGTGGCGATGATGCCGACTCTAGGTCAGCCAAGTCTCGTCAAATAGATAAAGAGGATGTGTTTGATGGATTTGATCCAGACGATCGAGAGTTGAATGAACGACTTGGCTTGGATGAAGTCCCCGAAGAGAATACTGATGAAGCGGTGACAAGGGGTTCTGATACAGTTGCTAATGAAGAAGAAAACGAGAAGCCGAAGCGTCACCAAAAATTATCAAATGATAAAGAATCCGAACGGAAAAAAGCAGAGGCAAAATTAAGACACGATTCTATGGAATCAGATCTCAACAATCTTGTTACACCGAAAGAGAAGACACGTGCTGATGTTGATTTAAGAGAACATACACCAAAAGCCAACGGTGATTGGCCCTATGAAAGAGAAGAGCTGAGGCATATTGGACAGGTCACAGCTTTAGGACTGAGCAAGAAAGATTTGCTTATTTTTCATCGTGGTGACAGAGTATGGAGTGATGGGTATGTACAAACATTTCGTTTAACATATGTTTAATATTTATCTAATGCACCAAGATAGTTTCAGTGAATCGAGTTCATTTGAGCATATAACTTCATTAATGAACTGCCTTTTCGCAATATTATTGTGATGAATGCTAACGAAATACTTTATTATCAACACTTTAAACCAGGATCTTTAAGTTTGTACATGTTTTTTATGCTAGAAGTTGAAGTGAAAGACTGGGGAATATAACTCTCCGGTCTCCACAACTTATCAGTTTAATCCTTGTGGTTCTTTGTATTGTTTGTAAATATTCTTATTCTTTTATCTAAGTGTAAAACAGTGTCACATTTAAAGCAAATATTTTACCTGTTGCAATTTTTAGGACATTTGATGGTCACGACCGTCTTAATTCTGAATATCGAAAACAGAAGATTTCTTCACCTACTATCTACCACTTGGATCCAGAAACAGGTGCTGTCAAGAAAAAATGGGGGCAAAATTTGTAAGTACCACCTTCAGCGAGTCATTTGCAAGCATGCTAGCAGTGAAGAAACAATGAATTCCGGTCATGCAAACTGGAATTAGGGCGCTACCTGATTAAGCAGTATAGCTTGTCGAAAAAAAGTCATTCAATTATTGAGACCCGCTTACATCCTATTCAGAATCTTGTTAATAATGTTGCATTAAATAAGCCTACCACGGTCTTTGTGAAACTGAAGTTTATCACTCATCTCTCTCTTTGAATTACAAAAGCATCAAGCGTCATATTTAAAAGTTTGCTAAGCCAGCCTTTCTGCATCTTTACGTACCTATTTAGTCTTTGAAAGTATTCCATACTTACAGGAAGGGATCTGTCTTAATATCCAGTGGAACAGTGCTAGAGCAGCTGTGCAAATAATGCAATTGATGTTAAAAAAGTTTCCATAGCTCAATTGAAAGCAATGAAACTAAATTTCCGCATTTCAGCTGGAAAACCTCAACGTATATCTTTTTTTCTATGGTAACATTTTTCTATCGACCTTTCTTTCAATATTTTTAACAGATACACTAAAAATCAGGTTTGTTTACCAAAACTTTTCATTTTCAAACAGTGTTTTATTGATGTACGTGTTCTTCATAAGAGGACAATTGAAGGAAAATTAAAGATTCGATCCTAATAACATAGCTTGTTTTGAAAATACGTCTTGTATTACAGGCTTAGATTGATTTTGAACGCTCTGAACTCTAGCTCGTATATCACTCTTTCAGTTCAAAAGACCTTTTTAGTTAAGGCTGAATCTTGTTTTATTCTTCTGTTGTTACTCTTGAGGCAATGAATAAATAGCATTTGGCGGTCTTCAGCCAAGTTTTCCACCTGGTGCTCAACGATTCCTCTCCTTGTCTAGATTTTACCTTCCCCATGGACTCGTTGTTGATAAGCATGGAAATATATGGGTAACAGATGTTGGTTCACATCAGGTAAGGGATTGAAAGTTTTTTGTATGTAGATCTTTTATGGTCGTATGAGCTTATACTTGTATTTTGGTTGACTGTATTCGGCAGATAAGCGTAAATCAGTCATAGCGATGCTTATTTTCATGGCGTTGGGATGTAGAAAGAATCTTCAATATTCGAAGCTTCGAGACGTTCGGTCTTTTGAAAAATATCTTTATATAAATATAATAATATATATGTTTAAAGTTGAATGACTATCAATTTCTCAAGGTAACTTCAATTATAGTCAACAATTTTAGTCTACTCAAAGTTTAGTCACTCCCAAATGCCCGTTTTAAGCCATTGAGAATTTCAACTTTCTCGACCATATTGTATGCAACGTATTTGCGCAACTGTGGTCTTGAAGAAAGAACCATGCGGCTTTCATGCACAATTGTTGAAGTGAGGATAACAAGTGCAGTTTGAAGATCTAGCGGAAAACTGTCACCTTTTAGCTGATAAATTAACCTCAAGGTTTTTAAAATTTATTACAAAATCGTAGCATATTCATTCCTCCACCCCAAATTTCTATCTGAACTGAACATCGATGCATTTTCAGCCATAATCGAACTGTTCGTTGGTAAAATTAAATTATGCACAAATAATTCTTTGTTTGTAAACTTCTATTAAATGTGTGTCAATCTAGAATTTTGATAGATGCCGTGAAGCCTTTGGCTACTTTTAGTGTCCTCAAAATGTTTTGTTCCACATTTTTTGGCATATACTAAAGTCCTCCGCCACTTTCTGCTCCAAACTGTAAAAAATATCTTTTCTTCGTTTTCTATCTTAAGGTTCCTAAGAAATGAAAACTTATGTTAATCTAGAATGAGTTTCCCGGACTTTTTTCTTAGCAGACTGAAATCTATTATGCTCTTTAGCAGGTCTCAATAAGATGCTTTTGGAAATGCAGGCTTTTTGCCGGTTTGAAATATGTTTTTAAAATCGGTTAGAGATATCAAAGCCTTTAATGCATTGATTTCCTCATCCGTGATGTAACTAAAACCTTTACGTAGAGGGTGGTTCTAAGCAGAATGAATTTAAAGAATGTTTGGCGATGTTCCAGTTCCATCCCAACGCTAAAACATTTGCTATATATGCGTAAGTTTTATTTTTCTAATAATTCTTACATTGAAAAATTCTTCTAATATGTTCATTTAGTTGATATGTTGGTGTTTTTTATTTAGGTCCACAAATTCTCTCCCAATGACCTGTCGACACCAGCTCTGACTCTAGGTGTTGCTTTGAGACCTGGAAACGATAATAGGCATTTCTGCAAGCCAACTGATGTTGCTGTTGACTCCAATGGAAACTTTTTTGTCGCGGATGGGTAACTAGATTTATAGATTGTTTATTCAATTGAAATATCTTGTATGACTATTTTTTGTAGTAAAGTTAGTCGATAGAAAAGTTCTAATTTTCTGGATAGAGAAAAAGGGTGAAACCATACCTATTGCATACTTTTATCGTTGATTTACAGAGCTCTGCGAAGAACTAAACATTTCACTGAGCAACGCTCAACATGGCTGCTTAGTGAAAAGTTCAGTTTGTTTTTGGTTGACGTTGTGCACACTAAAAGGGTATGATTGCGTCAAGAAAGCTCACCAATTCGACAAAATTAAGAAGGCCTTTTGATTTGCAATAGTTTTGTGCGAAGTTTTCATTTCTCATTGCGGAGGCACTTACATTAATCATTCTTTGCTCATAAAATTGTTGGGTGCAATCTTCAGTTCGTTTGATCACCCTGCACTGAGGCACTGAGCAGCACGCCGAGCAGAGCTGAGCAAGTTTGCAAATGTTGAGTGTTGCTCAGTGAAATGTTCAGTTCGTTTGACCACCCTGCACTGAGCAGCGGGCTGAGCAGAGCTGAGCAAGTTCGCAATGGTTGAGTCTTGTTTGGTGAAATATTTTTTTCTTTTGACCGGGGCTGAAGTGTGGGAATTGGCCTAAAGCAACTTGGTGGTAATTCATCGAAAGCAACTACCCACAAGCATCATATTTCTTATCTCGGAACTTGACATTAGTATAAACCCTTGTGCGTACACCTGCAGACAATATTTGATTGCTTCCTGACAGCTTCTCAAAAACATCCTTACAAACTGCAAATTATAAATACCATTGTAGTTTTATTTCGTTGCTGCGTAAAACACAAATAATTTCAAATTAATATTATTTGTGGATAATGTTTCGGAAGGAAATCAGAACTATCGCCTGTCTTTCCTTTGTAGGTACTGCAACGGTAGAATTATGAAATTTTCTCCAAAAGGGAGCTTAATCAAGCAGTGGGGAAGGAAAAACAGAGGTGTGTTTTTGTTATTCGTCAAAAAATTATTGGAACCTTAAATCCTAGAAAAAAAATGCTCAGTTTCTAGGCAATTTTTGAATGGTATTCTTGAATATATAATAAAGCAGGCCAAAAATATTAACGTTCTTCTCCTCAGGTCGCAATTCATAATATCTCTAGATAAAAACAATCTATGTTTTCACATTACAGTTTTATTTGAGATTTTTTCTTCAGAAAAAAAAGATTGAAGTGCTCATTTTCCATGTTTCTAAATTTCCTTTCCAGATTTGTGTAATTAAGCTATTGCTGAGTTGTCATGATTAGCATAAACTTTCTTTGGTAAGCACATTTAAGGTCAAGCAGTTGGAAGGCACAACAGTTGGAACCTCTGTAGAATTCTTTGTTGCAGTAGATGTTTCTAAAGATGTTAATTGCATTGTAAAATTGTTTTTATACAAAAGGGTAGTTCTTCCTTATCATAGTTCATAATCCTTTACATTTTGAAGGACGTGGCAGACCTGGTCCCGGTGAATTCGATGTTCCACACAGCCTTGCACTTGATGACGAAAAGAATCTACTTTATATAGCTGACAGAGAAAATGGAAGAATACAGTGTTATAATACAGATGGTAAACTCCAAAAAATCATTCATGCTGAAGCTTTTGGAGGCAGGCTGTTTGCTATAAGTTTTACCCCTTTCAATGGTATGTTTGATTCAGTTTGGTCAAGGATCTTAATAGATCTATAACCAGTGTTTTCAGTTAAATTGAATTATGTTCACGCTGTCCAGTCTGTTCGTATACTGGTATATGAAATTGAAAATAAGCCATCGCCATCTCTCTATTAAGTTTTCGATATGATACAGCAAAGAAAAGTACCATATCTTTCGTGAACTATTTAGGGCTGTCAAAAATTTTTACGAATGTTTTCATTTATTTAAGGTGAATGAAATAGCTATCAAATAGAATGCAATACTGTAGGGGGAAATGGTGTCGACTCAAAAATGGAAAACATTGAAGTTGAAGTGCCTCAAGAATCGTGCTTTGGCCCAATTCTTTTTTCTTTTTTATATTAATGATCTTCCTAAAGCAGTGCATAATTTCACCACTTCAGTGAATGCTGATGATACGAGTCTGTGCTTTAAATCAAAGGATATATCTAGGTTGAATAAGGCTATAAACCAAGGACTTTCATGTCTTGATTCTTGGTTGAAAGGCACTAAGTTATCCTTAAATGTGACAAAAACCCAATCAATGCTGGTCTCTGTACCAAAACAAAGAATAAAATGCCTAAGAGGTCGAACCATAGCCTGCAAGTAAAAATTCGGAGACGGAGCTTGAGGGTGTAAACAAAACCAGATACCTAAGAGTTTGCACCAGATAGAGAACAACCTTAACTGGAAGGATCACGTTAGGGCCGTCTCTTCTAAAGTCTGTAGGGGAATTGGTCTCTTAAAACACGCAAAGGGCTCTTACCCACCATCACCCTAGCCCCATTTCTGATACTGCTGCTCTATGTGGGCCTGTGCTTGTACAACCGAGATAAATCGTTTGCAAAAGCTACAAAACAGGGCTGCTAAGCTTGTTACAAACAGCAGTTTCGACACACCCAGCCAGCCACTTAAAAGAAAACTTGGGTGGAAGACTTTTCGAAACTGAATCCAAACAATGGTCTTTACAATTTCTTCACGAAAAGCTCACAATATGTTACATATAAATTGCGAAAAACTTTAACTGACCTTAGGTTGCCGAAGAAAAGCACCACAACGGGTCAGACGTGTTTTTCTTTCAGAGATGCGCGAATGTGGAACAGCCTTTCAGCCGACTTTGAAAATCTTATTTGGGGAATTATACCTTATTGTTTGTGTTCTGTTTTGTAATATCAAGCTTATTATTCTACTTTATTTTGTTAGAAAATGGTGCAAACTGTTCTAGGACGTTTTGTTAGCTGAATGCAATTCACAGCTGATAGTTGCTTCGTGAAGTTTTTACATCAGTCGCTTTTGAATTTGTGGAAGTATCACAAGAGAGCTAGAAATGTTGCAGTCCTATATATAAATTCTCGACCTTCTTAAAATGATATCTCCAATATATGCGTTTTCTTCACAGGGGGACTACTCTATGCTGTAAGTGGACCATCTCTTCTTCCCAGCGGCCCCAGACCATCGGGTTTTACAATTGACCCAAAATCAGGAAAAGTTCTTGGCAAATGGAGTCCTTTTTCTAAGGTAACTTCTAGGTTGTATCGATACTTTTTATCGTCATGGTTACTTATTTGTTAAACGTGTTTCCAGTAGGTAGGTTTAGTATCATTGTGTAGGTATAAAATGTTTTTTTTGTGACATGATTTACTTTATGGTGCTTAAAACGCATTCTTTAAACCTCAGCTTTGTTTTAATTGCCGTTCAAAATTATTTCATTATTGTTCTTCCAGGGATTTGGCAGACCGCATGATGTACAAGTTACTAAAGACAACTCTGCTGTGTTTGTCTGTGAAATTGGCCCGAATCGAGTGTGGAAATTCAATTTGCCAGAAAAAGAAACACAAAAAATGATTAAAGGTGAGGGAGAAAGTATGAAAGAAATGAATTTCTCTGCAATGCTAGATAAGAAAGACCCAGATACTTGCTTGTTGTTCTAAATACTCCCTCCGTTGGTGTGATTCCTGATGTAGAGACACATAGTTGAATTCAACATGTTACTTGCTCTTTTAACTTCATTAATTTCATCGCTATGCTAAATTATTTTCATCTGACAAACGAGTGATTTTTCTTATTTTTGAAACTGCATGTAAGTGCTGGATTTTGCACTTCTAGATTCCGAAATGAGCAAGGAGGACCGTAGATCTGAGAAAGAGGATGTGCTACCTGCAGAACCAAAAACCACTTTCACTCAGAAAGGTGACGTCAAAGACAAACAGAAGAACATCTCTCTACCACCTTACAAAATAAGAAAGCCAGAAGATGAATCAAACCTTATACCAGCCATTGTGGTTGTTGTGGTCCTAGCCACACCTATAGCACTTATCTGCGCTGCTGCGACCATCCAGCACTTGAGATTTAAACATCAAAGAGAGAAGGCATTGCGAAGGAGGAACGAGGATGCGTTGTCTTCTAAGCCGAAACACGGTTGCTTTAGTTGTTGCCGAACAAAGAAGTATTATTATGACCATAAGCGAGGCTTTGATAAACTGATTGGAGAAGATGACAGTGACGAGAGTGAAGATGATTATTTTGTTAGAAAAGGTGCAATTTAAAGGGTTATTATATGTCCCAAATCGCTCCTATTCCTTTCCACCTTTCTACTCTAATACCGACTCCTATAATTTTTCAATATTCTTTATGATATACCCAAGTTGAATTTTAAAAACCAAATAGGAATTTGAAATTCATTCAAAAGCAAGGCAGAAACGTTATCTGTTGGTCATTTTATATGTTTATCTGTAACTGATAAGCCTTCCCAATACCTATCCAATGTTTCCCCGAGAATCATAAACTTAGAAAACCGAATCTTGCATGCTGTACTAAAACTGATGTAAATCTCTCAATTCAGAAAGATGTGTCAGCAGCTCCAATCGGTAAAAACTGACGATTCGAGAAATAGAATCATTCAGGTTACAACAACTTCAATTTGGCCCCTTCTTTGTCTTTTTTCGTTCTTTCGGCAACTGAATAAATTAATCTTAATTTTGCATCTACGAGGGGAGATGTGTTTTGGTGCTTTTAAGAAACTATTCTTCGTTTCAAAACAAAATGCTGGAAAGTGATTTATTTAGAGGGAGAAAATAAAACTTCCTAGCTGGTCTTGAATTAAAATTATAGAACTGGGAATTTTTTAACTAAGGACGCCCTAAATTTAGAGAATTCAAAATAAGTGCATGGACAACTTTCTGCAAGAATTATGCTATTACACATGGCATACATCTTTGGTATCTCAGTTATTAAAGATAATCTTGGGCAACCGACACTGAGGTTGGGAATAAACACAGAGGGTTGAAATGAATGGGGAAGGGTTCATGACAAAGTCCAAAAGTTAATGAATAGGATAAACGTTTTGATAAGCGGGGATTTGAAAAGTTTCTATAGCGAAAGTGTCGTGGAAGATGATTACATCGACATTTTAAATTTCGAAATTTTAGTGAAATGGTTTTGTCAATGATAAAGGGGAGTTGGAATATGTTGCAGAAAGGGGTCCTTAAGAATCTTTAAAAATGAAGAGACCCCGTTCATTTCCCACCTCAGAGTAGTAAAAATCTTTTAACTGGTTTCCTTCAGGAATGTTGTCTCAATTGCAAATATTTATTGTTAATTATTGTAAAGTGCTTAGTTTTTCTACATAAATCAGTGTATTCTTGTTTTCTATTTTGATGAAATGCCAGTAGCTTAATCCTGATGTTACCATCATTCGTCGTTTTCTTATAGTCTTTTTTAAGAAGCCATCCAGTTGCCCCGCAGAGAAGTCGTTTGATCTTCAATGAATATGACGCCCTTCAAAATTGGGAGAATGGGGTGGAGGAAGATAAATTGATTGACAGTCACTTTAAGTTTTAATAACAAGCCAGTGGCGGCTCGTGCATTGGAGCTAGTGGGGCTGAGCCCCACCAAAGATTTCCAAAAACAAGTTTTAGATTTATAAACGTAAAGAAAATCAAGGTCCATTATTAATTTAGTACTGTTCACTAATTTCGTTGCTTCGAGTTTCACTGTTTGTCCTTTCTCTAGTTAACAAACTAGGTCCCACTGCCCGCGGTTCTTTTGAAAAGTAGACAAACACGCGTATCAGAAACTATCTCCCGAGTTTTAGGAGCTAGCCCTAAACTAGCAGAGAAAGCACCAATCAAATGCCTCTCGTAACTTGACTATTCAATCGATGACTGCCTTCTGATTGGCCAATTCTGCTTGAATCTGCATTCGTTTGGGGCTAGTTGAAACTAGCCCCAAGCAATTCAATTCAACGGTAGCTGAATTTTTGTTATTGTGATAGGCAATGTTGATCTGGAATTGGAACGCAGCAGAGTGGCATGTATTCGATGACTTGCATTTTCAGCTTTAAAACTTTGAAATAAAGCATACGAGTTAGGTCTTCATCAGAATCATCAGAATTAATTTTGCCGTTCCTGAAATAAGTTTAAAGTGGGAAGGCTAGGCCGTAAGCCTTCTAATGGCGTAAAGTATATTTCCAATGCACGCCTTCAACTTGAACAATTTTAGCTTCAAGGCACATGAAAATCAATCAACTAACAGTTTGAACTTTTTGCTTTTTAAAATTTTTTAATTGCCATGATATGGAATGCAAAGGATATCGTCTACGGTTTGGCCATATTCCAGTTGTCTATGTTTTCATGGACAACACCCACAAACTCCCCTTTTTGTGAAGAGAGAAATGATCCAGCGAACTTGAATAAACTAAGTTGAGCATACCAACATTTCACAAAGTTTTTTACTTTGCTTATTACAAATTATACATAATTAATAGTTCAACTTGTTTTTTTTCAATCAACACTTTTTTCAACTTGTTTTTTTTCAATCAACACTTTCAAAATGATGACAGCCTTGTTGATCAGAAATAGTAAAGAATGGCAAGGCTATTTATCATTCTTGGCGTTCCATGTCTATGGCTTTAGATTTCGAATATTACGTCATCAGCCCCACCAAAAATTTACCTCACGAGCCGCCATTTGCAAGACATATCTCTTGTAGCCAAAAGGAAGACAGTAAATAATGAAAGGCTAATTTTTGTGATTAAAATTTCTATTGTCGAATTCCCAGATCCCCCTTGAAACATTTTTGGCTTGCAAAACAAAATTATCAATGATGTTAGGAGGCATGTTTCATGTTACTTATGTCACTATGCTTATTCAATATTTACCAAATCCATCCAAATTGTTCTAGGGAAAGGGATGCAGATACATTTGGGAAAAGAAATAAAAAATACTGAAACAATACTGAAGCTTTTAGGTGCTCAAAGTGATTTTAATAAGAGACTGATGCTAGGAACAAAGATCATTTTCGAAAGGATGACGCAATTCAGCCGGTGACGACACAGAGTGGGCTCGGTACCAGATTCCTTGGGAGTCTGGAATCTAGCATGAGACAATGGAACTTCTAGGTTCTATTGTTCTTGCGAACGAGGCTCTCTATTCATCAAATTTCTGACGTACCACTGACCATGCCTTTTCGAACTTCACGACGCCAAAGAGGGTTGTGATCGGTAGGTGCTGCTTTCAAATTGTTCTTCTACTCGGAAAATATCCCCAGAAATCTGTTGAAAATGCTTAAAAAGTATCTAAATTTCTATTGTTTCCACAAGATTAATTTTTTGTTAGGATTACTAATCTTCGTGTAGAAAGTACCCCACTGAAGTGCAGAATGGCTAACGATTTTTTGACGGCCATTTTGATTTGAACATTGTCGGCGGAGCGAAGTCTCGAGGATAGTTGACGAAAATTAGTTGTTTCGGTAATAAATCAGTCGTATGTTGTAAATCGTGTCAAGTAAACCCATTTCACTTTGATTGAATTCTTGCTTACATTTTGAAGTCGACGAACGGCACAAGCACCGCGTGCGATCAGTTAGGCCTTGGGGATTTGACATGCGTGGCTTATTTGCTCGTACAATATCTGAACTAGATCCTTGGTCTGTTGAGGTTTAACTAATTAGTAATGCTTAATTCATCTTAAATTTTGAATTTGCGTTAGTCTGTCTAAATTTACATGACATGAAAGATAATTTCAAGATCCCGCTGTGGTTCTTGTGACGTGGCCACGTTTCTGTGCTGAAAGCTTGGAGGGATCTAGTTTAACTACTTCGATTTCGTCAAGTGACTATTTTCAAAAAAGTTTTTAGTAAAATTTTCATTTCCAAAATCCCTAAACTGATGTTAGACGTCTGATGCCTTGCAGAGATTGCGAGGCTTCGGCCGCATGGTGGCGCAGGGCACGAATACAGCACGTGGTTTTTTAGCAAGTAAGGGCGTTTTGGTTGACAAGGTAACTGGTGCTGTCGATATTTCACACTTTTTGCCAGATGACAGTTAATTTTATAAAAGAATATTAAGAACCAATCGTTTGGAAAAAAATTAAGCTTGAAGTTCACGCTGAAACTGGCTAGTGGTTGCATATTTATAGTCGACTTTTGACATTGTTGTCAGGTTGTAACGGAAGTAACTTTTCATATCTTAGTGATGAAACTTCGTTGCGATAGGAAATTCATTGGCGTTCTGCGATTCTTCGCTGTCCATTTAAAATGAAATTTGTATCAAAATTGAGGTCGACCGATTATGGTTTTTTCGTCACGATTTCAGTGTGCTTGACAAACTCAATAGTTCTAGGTAACTAGATGTGCAATGGCTGTGTTAGAATTAATGCTAGAGTAAAGTGTAATTTAAAACGCCATTTGATTGCAGTATGGGAAATTATATGTAATATAGGCAAAATTTGTCAAATCAATAGAAAAGAAAAACATATTGAAATAAAAATTTTACAGTTGGTTTTGGAGGATATGTGTATTGAATGTATTTATTTAGTAGGCTATTGGGATAAGAACCCTTCACAAATTGTGTTTTCATATCAAAGGCTTTACAATAACAGACATGGTTAAAGCTGTAATTTTGTGATTATAAGTTTCTTTGTATAATTTCTGTATAATTTGTGAAATTCTTATGAATTCTTCTGTTGATTTGATCTATTGAAGTATTGTAGTATTGAATTGGAACTAGCTATTACTTCAAGTAGGTATTTAAAAATGTTTTTGTGTGTACTGATTTATTTGTCACACATGCCACTGATAACCCATGAATCAGTGTCAACAAACACAGTTGTTGGATTAGTTTATAATGAAGATAGTTAGCAAGTGTCTTCTCCCTCACAATTTGCTTAGGCTATTTTCTCAAGAAATAAGTTCGAAAACCCCTTTTTACATTTTTTGCATTTGATCACCTAGATGTATTTTTTTATTATATATATATATATTGGATTGAAGTTTAAAATATCTCAGATGCTTCATCCTGAATATTTAATCGAGTATTTTCAGTCTGCCAAACGAATCCCCTTTCCATAAAGGTTCCCATTCTGAATCAACCAAAATTCAAACAAGCCTGAAAAGGGTGATTCCATCATCCAAAGTGTTTATTAATGACAATCCCGCAATAGCTTTCTTGCAAAATGACAACAGGTCTTAAAATTCTTTTTTAGAGTTTGGAAAATTTTGGGCCACAAGTCCATTGGTCTCAAAAAATATAGAGCCCAGGAAAAAAATAAAAAATTAGGATTTCTACAGAAAGATGATAAAACTCTAGAATGAAAAGATCCTCTAAATCAAGAGAGTGTACAAGAAAAGAAAATTTTCAAATCAGTGAACATTGGTTAATCCACCTTGATATCAAACATGTAGAAATACTCTGAAGTGATGTGTGGTTTAAGCTATTAAACTTAACAAACTTATGAGGTCAAGTAGAATTTTCTGCAAAATTGGCACATGAATGTATTGAATCATTGGGAAAGGCAGTCTGAATTGAAAATTTTGGTTGCTATATAGACATAAGCATACTGTTTAGTAGCAGAGGCTAACTGAACAGTAATCCTTAAAATTATGAAAGGGAAGGATTCTTTTATAGGTTCAAATTGCTTAACTCAATCTATGGCAGATGCCTGCACTGCTAGTTTGTGACACAGAAAGTAATTGTTAATTTAGCTGCAATCCCAGCCAAGAAATGTTTCCCACCTGTTATATTTAGAGCATTTTGGCACAGGGAATCCAAATAACTTGTCTCTAAAGGTTTCAGGTTGCAATTTTTATTTTTCAAATTGGCAGTGTTTCATGCAAAACTCAATCTCATTATCCTGGAATTGGGAAATAAGGGTTAGTTACAGTGCATAAGAACCTTAAAAATATGTTAAAAGGAATTTTACTCATTGACTTAATAACCAAAAGTTTTTACTCTTTCATGATGTGACAATGTATTTGGAAAAGCAGAGATATTTTGTCAGATAACAGATAGTGACCCAAAGTAACAAATCTGTACCAGTGTTTCACTGGGTCTAATTTTGCACAATTCTCATCACTAACTGTTAGAGAAACTTTGTAAGATGCAAGGACAAGATAAAGTGGCTTAAAGAAGTGATTTGCCAAGTAATGTGCTTTATAAGGAGCGTTACCCCCAGTGAAAACTCTTACGTTCTTTTGATTATGTTCTGATGAATAGTTTGACTCTTATGTAGAGAAGAACCAATTTAAAAGTGTTCATTGCCTATTATTCATTTACCAAGTATGCATAACTCTTTCAGTCCTTCTCTTTCACCTGAAGTTTCTAGTTTCTGTTTCATTACTGCAGTTTTTAGTTAGAGCATGTTTTTGTCAAGCAAGGGTGTTTTAAAAGCTGCATCTTGTAGATACTTGAGTAATTTCATCCTTTAAAGTTTTAACATTTCATTGATTATTTACATAATTTTTTATTTTACAGTTGTATCATTTGTGTCATTGACCTAAACTTCCAAACTTCAAAATGCCAAAGGAAAAGATTCACATTAACATCGTTGTCATTGGTCATGTCGACTCTGGCAAGTCAACCACAACTGGTCACTTGATCTACAAGTGTGGTGGTATCGACAAAAGAACCATTGAGAAATTTGAGAAGGAAGCCCAAGAAATGGGAAAAGGTTCTTTCAAATATGCCTGGGTATTGGACAAGCTGAAGGCTGAGCGTGAGCGTGGTATCACAATTGACATTGCTTTGTGGAAATTTGAAACTGAAAAATTCTATGTCACTGTCATTGATGCCCCAGGACACAGAGATTTCATCAAAAACATGATCACTGGTACATCACAGGCTGACTGTGCCGTTCTCATTGTTGCCTCCGGTACTGGTGAATTCGAAGCTGGTATTTCAAAGAATGGTCAGACAAGAGAGCATGCATTGCTTGCTTTCACACTTGGGGTCAAGCAGATGATTGTATGTACAAACAAAATGGACAGCACAGAACCACCATTCAGTGAAGCTAGATACAATGAAATTGTCAAGGAGGTGTCTGGGTACTTAAAGAAGATCGGTTATGACCCCAAAGCTGTTGCATTTGTTCCAATTTCTGGTTTCAATGGTGACAACATGCTTGAAGAATCTGAAAATATGAAATGGTTCAAGGGCTGGAACATTGAAAAGAAAACTCAGGAGAAAACAACTGTGAAGTCTACTGGGAAAACCCTTTTTCAGGCTCTGGACAGCATCATCCCTCCAGAGCGTCCTTATAAGCTGCCACTGAGGCTGCCTCTTCAAGATGTCTATAAGATTGGTGGAATTGGCACGGTCCCAGTTGGTCGTATTGAAACCGGTATTCTGAAACCAGGTATGGTTGTTACATTTGCACCAGCCAACCTCACCACTGAAGTAAAGTCTGTAGAGATGCACCACGAGTCTCTGCCAGAAGCCTCTCCTGGTGACAATGTTGGATTCAATGTCAAGAATGTATCTGTGAAAGAAATCAAAAGAGGCATGGTTGCTGGTGACAGCAAAAATGATCCACCAAAGGAGGCCAAATCATTTGATGCTCAAGTTATCATTTTGAACCACCCTGGTGAGATCCATGCTGGTTACTCTCCAGTTCTCGACTGTCACACTGCACATATTGCATGTAAGTTTGCTGAGCTTAAGGAGAAGATTGACAGGAGATCAGGTAAGAAGCTCGAGGAAAACCCACAGAAGGTAAAGTCTGGAGATGCTGCAATGATTAAGCTTGTTCCAAGCAAACCTATGTGCGTGGAAACCTTCAGTGAATACCCACCATTGGGAAGGTTTGCAGTCCGTGATATGAAACAAACTGTAGCTGTAGGAGTCATTAAAGGTGTTGAAAAGGCAGAAGCAGGTAGTGGTAAAGTCACAAAAGCAGCCCAAAAAGCAACAAAGAAGAAGTAATTGAACATGAATATTGCGTTTAAAAACTGTAAGAGTTGACTCTAATTTTAGAAGGATATAAAAGTTAGTGTCAATGGAAAAAAATTTCGAGTAATAAAATCATGTGAAAATTATTTGTTGACTTGTCAGTCTTTTCAGAACTGGACCAGACTTCTCTGAAATAAAATTCACTGAAAAAAAATCATTTCTTTTGTAAGAAAAAATCACCAAAAATGTTTAAATTAACATAGGCTGATTATCATTTAAAGTAAAAATCTAAAGCCACTCCAAGTTTCTACTTTAAGGGAAAGTTTCCCCACGCAGTTAAAGTACTGTAAGTCCACGAGTGCTTAATTCGCAAAACATTTTTGTTTGGGTGCTCCTCAGGGGGTTGCTTTCAGTGGCGAAGCTGGCCTTAAGTCAATGGTCATGCTTTGTATGGGACAGAAAGGGGATGGGGGTCTGGGGGCTATGCCCCCAGGAAAATTACACACAACCACACCCTATAGATGCTCGGAAAAGGGGGGTAACGCCCTTTTTAGTATATTGAATCAAATAGCTCTTGTTCAGATCGCAATCAATGATGTCAAGGACTTCAACATCTAAATGTTCTTTCCACCCCATTCTCCAATGTTGTGTTTTGGAAATATCTTTGGGACAATGTTTTTGAAAAATTGTGCATTTGAAAACCCCCAACAAACACTACTGATCATACTGGAAAAACATTGCAGATGAGAGAGTATTATATCTACAAATATTTTTCAAAATCTAAACTTTTGATAAATCAGCAAGGGGTTAAAAAATATCCACTCTCTTACTATTAATTATTGACACTTGATGATGTTTCTGAATTAAGATGAATTAGGCAAGATAAGCCCTCAGTGATAGGTAGGCCCTCCCTTGTTTATGATACAGGGAATTGTGGGATGCTTGTTTCTTGGTTCAGAATTTTATACTTAGCTTCAATTTTATAAGCTTAATTTTTACATATCTAAAACAAATGTATCAAGGATAGTACTGTTTAGCATATACAAAAAGTTTTGACCCCTGTATTTAAGGTGTAACATGCCATAAACATCAACAAGTTAAGTCCAAGCCCAACACCAAGGGCTTTCCTATAACTTTGGTCTTCCATGTTTAAGAAACCCCATAGTTTTCCTGGCAACTGAAAGCCCTGGGGAAATCAAACTGCACTGAGAAGGTTGGCTGTGTGGAAGCTACATATATAGTGTGGAAGCTACAATAACAGGCAAGTTCCAAAGTGCAATTTCATTATCAGCATCAAGTCATGGTGTAATATTGAATAACAGGCAAATTACAGGGTACAATACATTTGCATTGCATAGGGTACAATGCAAATTACATACATGTATTAACAAAAGTTATAGAGTAATATTGAATAAACAAGCAAATTTAAGGGTACAATTTCATTTATCAACAAAAGTTATGGTGTAATATTGAATAAACAAGGAAATATAAGAGTACAATTTCATTTATCAAAAAAAGAGCTGGTGTAATATTGAATGCAGGCAAATTTCAGGGTACCATTTCATTTATCAGCAACAAGTTATGGTGTAGTATTAAATAACAGGCAAATTGCAAGATGAAATTTGAATTTTATTTTATACACAACAAGTTATGTTGTAATATTGACTAAACAAGAAATTCTTAAGAGAACAATTCTTTCTATCAACAACAGGTCTTGGTGAAATATTGTATAAACAGGCAAGTTTTCAAAGTACAATTTCGTCCCTCTCAGCAACAAGTAAGGTTGTAATATTGAATAAACCAGATGGAATGGACAGGCAATTTCCATCCATCATGTAAAATTCCATTCATCAGCAACAGGTTATTGTGTGATTTTGACAAAACAGGAAATTTTCAAGAGTACAATTCCATGAGCAAGAGAGGTTTTGGTGAAATACTGAATACACAGGCAAGTTTCAGGGTACAAGTTCGTCCATCAGCAACAAGTTATGGTATGATCAGCAACGTAATGGTAGGATTCTCCATCGATAAGGGTCGGTCTTTGGTTTTCAATCACAATTTTGGTTTACAATTACCTTGCTCAGCCACACGCAAGTGATCCCTGTAGCAGTTAATAAACAATATATCTCTCGGAAATAGCTTCGATTGAATTTCCCCACTCCCTTGCAGCAATGTTTCTCAGCTCACAAGTTGACCTTAGATACTTCATGTATGGGAGATTTAGGTCGGTCATGCTGAAAAAAATGAGCATGACTTGGGGTCCAAAACGGGCCAAGATAGCATGCGCAAGATAGAATTCAGCCAATCAAATCAGTGCTAGGTTTATGATTATAATGACGAGGTCATGCTATTCCAAATGAGCATGACTTACCGCAGGGATACCAACTGAAAAGTCATTGAAACTCAGCCGACTCACAGGAGCGGTTGGGCTCTCTGAGGAAAGAAACCCTATGGCAGGTCATGCTCTCCAGAATGAGCATGACTAACCACAAGGGACCAAGGTAGGGAAGGGCAGTGAAATAATAAGAATCAACTGGACGAATGGAGTTTTGAGGGTACTTTTTCAATAAAGAAAAGTTTTAATCATTATAATAAATGTCTTTAGCTCTGAAAATTTTTAGTCATGCTCAGCATGACCAGCATGACCGCTAGCTTCGCCACTGTTGCTTATCCGAAAGTAGGCATTATTTAGCAGCAATCAAGAATGTTTCCAGGGAAATTTGGTTTCTGATAATTGTACAGCTATGTCCAAGATATACAGTTGCGAGATAATGCCAACAACTCTCGTCGAATAATCTATCGAAAAAGTCTATAAACGTTAGAATTTTGATTTGAAAATAGTAGAAACGGCATGAAGAATTGAGACATAAATTTGATCAGTGAGAAGAAAACAATATGAAGTTTTTGTTATCTTTTGATTGGTTCGCAACCTCTTTCTGGTATCACCATCTTTCTGGTAAATATGGTATCATCATATTTTCAAAAGTCAAAATTTCGTTGACCGCGCATTTTCAACCTTACCCGGATACGCGACTTCGATCATAGGTCCCTAAGGCTAAAAAAATCAGTGCCTTCAACTTTTGTGATCTAAACTTCAAAACTTTGAATATACAAGTTGCTATTCTAGGTTCCGTGTCTATATTTTGCAAATTGACTGATACGTGGCAAGTGAACAATAATGTAATTTGCTTCAGAATTACTTTTTGGCTTCGTTTGAATCAAACCCAAATTACATTAATTTGTCAGTAAAAGGGTCTGTTCAATGTGGCTATTTCTTTAGCCAATTTTGGATAGCTAGCGGCAATGCACTCTTGTAAATAGGGTAAGAGGTTTCCCCCAAAACACTAAGATTTCTTAGAATTTACCGATGAAACAATAGCTATCAGGTTTTAGAGATATCCATAGAGTGATTTTACCCTCTTCGGATGCCCTGTTCCACCTTAATTACTCATTACAACATTACTTTATACTTTAAATTAGACAAAATGTTTGCATAGCTTCAAGGCCTGCTCAAAGAATGCATGTATAAAAAGAAAGGCAGCAGGGAACCTTGCATTGTTACAACCGAAGGAAAAATTCTTTGAGCCATCTTGCTGAAGGCTATCTACTTATTTTTGTTCTACTCTCGATAAAATGTTTAAACTTAACCACCTTTTGCAATCTTGGATGATTACGTCGAAATACGTCGTACGCTTCAGACACCTAGTTTGATGGGTGTGGTCTTGAAGATTTTCACAATGCAACGCCCAAAATTTTTGAATATGTCTAGTGATAGACTCGGACACGAACAGACCTTAAACCATACTAATATAATAAACAGTTATGAGTTTGAGATACATGTGCTCAGGGGCGGATACTTTGTCAAATGTTGGGGAGCAAACCTATTGTTTTAATAAAATGACGTCACATTTCCCATTGTTTTTAGAACAAAAGACCACTGTCTTCCAAGGTATTGGGAGGTGACCGCCTCTCCCCCCTACCCCCAGGTTTCCGTCACTGCATGTGTTGAGTATTCTGTTTTATAATGTTTGTCTATCTGATTCTTGAAACTGTTTATATTTGGTGCGTTTGCAATCTCATCAGGCATACTTTTCCAGTGCTTGTAAACTCTGTTACTGTTGAGTCTTTTTCTAAAAAAAGATTGAATCTTTGTTTTCATAACCTCAAACTGTGTCCCGTCGATATTTTCCTGAAATTCTTGGCAGGAGATTGTTGCATTCTGTATTGTGTGTATTTACATGTTTCCATAAGATCTCCATGTTTCCATAAGATCTCCACGTAGACGGCGGTATATTTGGCTAGGAAACTCTTCTATCTTTCTCCACATGAGATGTCTCTCAGTTCTTTAATAAGCTTAGTCATTCTACTTGGTACATTTTCAATAACTATGATATTCTTCTCAGTGGCGTGCTGGGGAAGAGATCGCAGAGAGGGCAAAATGGCGCCCCTTATTGTGCTATCTTCAAATGTTCCTTCAAAGTTTCGGAAATATGCAGTAAAGTACAAGAGTTCGGAAGCACGCCGATCTATATCTGTTTATATGTGGCCGTACCGAAAGACCTTCAAATGAAGGGAGAGGGGGTAGTCAATCACTGACAGGACGTAAAAGAAATTTTCCAAAATGAGTATGTTATTTATTTGTGAAGCCTAACAGTGTTTTTAGTATCATTGTAGCATCTGTATCGTTACCCTGGGTACCAGACTCACTCTATATAAAATAAGAGTGAGTCTTGTATTCACGGGTACTGTAACCTCAAATTGCACAACAATGATAATCAGGGACGTCATTATTGACGGAGGTTAGCGGTAGAAAGAGAGGGTAAACCATGGCAAGCGGCCAAAAGTTGCAAAATAACGTTCTAGGGATGTTCGGAAAATGCATCAAAATGATCTCAACATCGCCCTAGACCCATGGAAGATCCTGTACAATACCCATTAGCTTTCTTCAAAATATGGCCCCAAGACCGTTTGAGGCAGGCTTTGTTTGTGATTACTACGAATTTCCCTAATTTAATAAATGGCCAGAAATTCTTTAGCTGCTGACACCATCCTCCGCAGTATAGCTGCTGACACCATCCTCCGCAGTATAGCTGCTGACACACCATCCTCCGCAGTATAGTGTGTCGATTAAAAAAATTAACATTAT